TTCTCCTGGAAACTGGTTTAATATAATTAATTTGATTAAATTAAGTGTAAGACGATCGTCGGTGGACATTTCCGAGGAAACTTGGAAAGTTTCTTTGTGTTTCTTTGTGGTCATAGCTTTAAGGCCAGAAAAACTGACTCCTTTCTCGGTTTTAAAATGAAATAAATTCACAGCAGTTTACAGTAGAACCCCATTAATACGTTATTAACGGGGTAGAGTCAAATTTCATGACTGGTCTAAACTGAGTTATTTTGTGAGGAGAGAAAATCAGATAAGTTAGTATGTTTTACCTATTTGCTTTCGCTATCACAAAATATAGAAATCCAACGTAGATATATTAGTTTTAGTTCGTTGAGCGACCCAGGAACCTGTTATCACAATTTCTTAACAGATATATTGCAATTGTACTTCTAAACATCTGTTTGTTGATAAGCATCTGGAATGCAGATATAATTTAACAAAAATTGAATCTTCAATCAGTTCATACAATATTAACAATGGAAAGATGAACATAACTGGTTAGAAAGGCAGCATGAACGGTGCAAAATTATAAAGGAAGTTGGGATTTCAAAATGTGACCGTTGGCCGTATTAACGGGGTGGCTGCGTTAATGGTTTCTTTTTGATAAGAAAATGTATGGGCGATTCGCCGGGACAAAAAAAAGTGGCCGTAATAACGAGTTGAACGTAAGGCGGGGTTCCACTGTATTTTAAGGTAAATTCTAATATATATAATCAGAAAAACAACTGGCGCATCTGTAACTAACATTAAAAAAAGTAACTCAGTTGTTTCATTTATCTAGACCACGAGTAGTCCCTCTGTCGCTTAGTCCGTCGAGCGTGACGCGAAAGAAACCCGCGGGAAAAAATGGCCGCGCGAAATCCTCCTCGCTTCCCGGATTTCGCGCGGCCATTTTTTCTCGCGGACAGAGGGACTACTCGTAGTCTATATTTATCATATGACTGAGACAATTACGTCATTGTGATTGGCAGAGAACAGGCAAAGTTATCTGGCGATATTTGAAAATCCAGTATATTCAAAGAATTTTCAGACATCATTCGTATAGCTTGCATTCACTGCATACCATTACCTATTTGACAAAAGATAGAACAGCGGGTAAAAATGTAAAGGTCGGCGCTTATCTCCGGTTTCTGAAGCATAAAGCGACTAGGAGTATTTCTACTTCCCCCTGGATCGGATCCATTGCAGGGTTACCCCCAGCATTAAATTAGCCGGTGCCCATTTATACCCCTGGGTTGAGAGAGCCACTGTGGGAATAAAGTGTCTTGCCTAAGAACACAACGCGATGTCCCTGACCAAGGCTCGAATCCGGATCGCTCGATCGGGAGGCGAGTACACTAACCATAAGGCCATCGCGCCTCCACAGTGCAGCGGGTATAAGTTGGGAAAGGTGGTCGTGAGTTAGATAACTTGTCAACGTGTTATGAATCTTATTACAAACGTTCTGCATAAAAAAAAACGTTTTTTTTCTCAGTCAAAGAGGTCTATTAATCAGTTTACGCCTTTCTAGTGACAACATTAATTTGTAATTAATAAATTAAGAGTTTAGACTGTTTAGTACGAATCTCTGGTCTTTCGTTTGATTGGTAAATATATCTACTGTGTGCGTTCTCTGATTGGGTGAAAATTTGTTTATCAGAGTATCACATCATCTTATCAATGGGTGCGTGCCTTTGGGGTGATCTGGATCAGATCACTCAGATCATGGGGCATCAAAGGAATCGAAGAATCCTCTCTGGTCACTGATTCATCGGTTCCTTTGATGTACCATGATCTGAGTGATCTCGGATCACTGATCCTGACCCAGATCACCCCAAAGGAACGCACCCTGAGATAAAACATGGAATGTATAATTGTTTGCGCCTCATAAAATCGAGTCCTAGCATAAGACTGACAAAGAAGAGAGTCTTGTATTGTACTATCTGGGTCACAAGACACGCTAGTTAACTGAGATCAGTTTAAAACTGAGGAAAAACTCGCCGATGGCTCGAGTTTTCTTACCGCCATCAGTGTCTCTATCTACTTCATGCAGATCAACCTCTTGTGAACGTGGAAAGTAATTTCGTTTTGTCCCTCAGACTTTAAACCATTGATTCTAACTGAATGTTAACTTGTTTTTCTCTATGGCGGTTTCCTTTCTCTATTGGACTTGTACTTCGGTTTGATGTGCTGCCTGCAGGAGAAACCAAATTTCGGTTTACTGAAGAGTTCTTCTTCGTCTTCGTGCAGAAGCCACAAAACGGAAAAGTGCCACGTTTGAAATGACGTGGTGTCTGCTTTCGTGGCCGGTGAAGGCACCTGCAAGAACTGTATCTGCGACCAAGAGCGCCGAATATGTAAGGGTTGACAGCGCTATTGGCATAAACCATTACGTTAGCGAAAGTGAGTAATGTGTTGAAATGTTTCCATTTCTGACCATTTCCGAAGTCACTCCACATCCACATGACCTGGAAAGGCAATAAACACACGGCAAAAGCGACCACGGCCAAGACAAAAAACTTAACAATTCGAATATTTCGACGCGTACGGGACTTAGACAATCGGTTCTTATCTCTACTAGTTCCAACAAGTAGCTCCGCCTTGAGACTGTTGGCACGAAGTCTTACCCCCACACGAGCGTAGGCCGCTGTGATGACGCAGAGTGGGCTCAAATAGAGAATCAGGAACACGCATAGAGTGAAGGCTTCCGGGTACCTTGGATCGTTACCAGGCCAATTCTCCACGCACTCGCCGTCTTTCATCTTAAGCGCAACAGCATACGGCGATACTAATCCACCACTTATTGCCCAAACGAGAAATATTACCAGTTTTATAACTGTGCCGGTCATCTTGGGCTTGAGCGGGTAGAGTATAGCACGGTGGCGCTCCAACGCCATGCACAGCAATGTTGACACAGAAACGGCCATAAAAACTGTTTGTAAAGGATAAACGAGCCTGCACATCACCCGACCAAACGGCCAACCGCCTAGCACGAGTAGAGTGATGTCAAACGGTATACTTAGCGTGCAAGTCAACAGATCGACCGCTGCGAGATTTAAAATAAAATACTGGCTAGTTTTGCGGCTGCGCTTGAGAGCCAAGTTAATGATCAGCATCAAGTTTCCAATGGTACCAATGACGATAATAACAGAATAGCAAGTGATTTGAATCACTGTTAAGAGTTCCATCGACAGTTTCGTGTTTGTCGAGTCCGTGTCGTTGGAACTGTTCATCCGCTGACTTGCATTCCTTGAAGTGTTTACGTTGTCAACCTGAAAGGACGCCATCAGTTAAGTTTGTTCCAGTTTCCGCGTACTTTGTTTTATCATTATTTTCAGCATGTGGGTTCTAATTTGGTTTTCACCGTACAAAAGGCTTGTTGTTCCGCAGTGTCATTGCAATCCTTTGAATTGGGTTTACATTTGTCTTTCGTTAATCTCTCTCCTTTTTATTTGATCCAACCAAACCTCCAATCACTGAATAACTAGAACTTGTGTTGTCTCCGCCTTACTCCTTTTCAACTGGGCTTAACCTGCAAAACGTAAAGATTGTTTGAATCTCTACAAGACTGTACGGTTTGAAAGAGTCGCCATATGGGCTTTCGTGCACGAGGAGGGTTACAAGCTTCCAGACTTAAGTCGCTATTGACCCAACGTCAAGGTGTCAACCGATTTTTTAAAGCCGGTAGCACTTTGATAAAATGAAAAACAGGTGACCCCAAGGGAATATTATTTATACACAGCCATATTCTTCCAAACAAACTGCACATGAAGAAATACGATAAACACAGTTGAACACTGACAGACTAGCCTCAACCAGCTGGATAGTTTGTTGTCCCCGCTGTCAATGTTTCTATGTACAACAAGTCAAAGAGCCGATGTAGCAAATGTGAGATGTTTGCTTTGTTTGAATGAAACTAAGGTTGTGGATTAATTTACGTAGTGTCGAAAAGATTCTATTTTAACATTTATGCGTGGCTTGTATGTTAAATGGTACAACGCCAAAAAAAAAAAAAAGAAAATTTGGTTAGTCTCACGCGACATCTAAGAAAACATTTCAACTAAGGACACGGTTCGCGTTAACAGGAAAGCTATCGACCCCTTGGGTCACTTTATGGCATATGGCAATCGATCAAATTAAAAAAGATATATATGGCAATCCGAAATTGTTAACTCTATGTCTGGTGAAAAATCCCTATACCGCTGAGTAGTTTGAGGATTATTTTTTGTTGAGGTTTCAGAAGTTTCAACGTCCTCTTTTCAAAGGATAGAAGAAGATGAAAACAACTTCTTTAAGGTTTCTCAGTGCAGAGATTGTATCTGATATTACATAGATTTCAGATAGAAATAAAACTCATAAGCCTCACTTACCCCGGCAGCGAGTCAATCATGGTATTTCATTTATACTTATACTCTAAACCTCTAAACCAGAGCAAATTAATTTACCTAGCCACTTAGCGTGTTTTAAACGTTTCAGATCCATAGAGATGCAGTGTCTAAATTGTACTCAAGACCGTCGGTGAACAGAGGTTCAAACAGCTTTCTGCGGCTCGAGTAGAAAACAAATTTCCCCAGCGAGGGCCTCCGGGATTTGGAACATGATCAGCATTCTCAAATTCATTTATTATTGATGATGCTATTAACCAATCAGAATTCTGTATTCAAGTCAGCTCGATTAGTTTAGGAACACGATGAAACACCTTTTATGCTGCACGTGTTTAATTTCAGTTAAAGCGTGTGCTCTATATTTCATAACCCGACAACACAATATAGTGTTTTAACAATTTTTTTTTGCTATGTACTTCAAACACACGTCACAATCCGGCGATGTTTAATTCAAGAAGTATTTCCCTTCTTGTTACTAAATTACAGGATATTGAAAGGTAGACTCCGAAACCTTTCTTCAATTTTACGATATACTGTGTTCTGTCTCTTTCCATTGTGCGTCAAAGATCTGGAGCTTCTGTTTTCTCATGTCATGGCCAGAGACAACAAAATTTCAGTTGCAGAAGTCGTATATCCTGGAAAACTTAACGCTGCCAAGAAACCAACTGGTTTTGCCAGTGTCATAAAGGGTCTGCCAGAGATTTCTAAATAAATCAACCGCCTGTGTAAACGGCCTTTGCTATGATATTTCAGGCTGCTTGAAAACAGTTAAAAATCAGAAATTATAGCACCATACAAAAACATGATCTTCATTTACCTAAACCAAAATGTAATATTAGTAAGAGAAAATTTTTACATTCAAGTTAGCGTTCTACAATTACAAAAGTGCTATCCTAAACAAACTCAACTGGATTAAGTTTCGCGAATTTCAGAAAAGGGGGGCCGTAGCCGTCTGGGTGAGGGCGCATCCTTTCGACAAAGCAACGTAGAGTGTGGAGGTATGCCCTCAGAGAATATTTGTGACTTTTAGTTCTGCGAGCTTCCATTTCCTGCTTTTAAGGGACATTCGTCACCAAAATATCATAGCTAAGAGTGACAGAAGAAAGGAATGGCTGCGGAGCCTCCCTGCCCCCTCTCCTTACTCCTCCTCCCCCCTTGCTTTCTTCTACGACCTTCTACAGTAGCGAGGATTTTTTGTAGTAGTTGACTGGTGAGTTTCACTTGCTATTGTTCCTTTTGGTAAATATCGTTTATAATTTCGCCATTGCGAATTGATGTAAAATACTCCGGCCGCGCATAATTGATTTGAAGTTACAGGGCTATGTAAAGTGCTTGAGGTCTTGAGGTTGTGAGTGCAGAAGTTGTATGCATCAGGCGCAAAAACAGACGTTTTCTTGTCTTTCCTTGCTTGTATATATTTCTCATTTGATACTGGTACCACAACCCAAACGAAAAGTAACTTTGCTAAACAAAAGGTTTGATGAGCCGCACGATAACTTTGCTAAACTCACTGCTTATACATATTCATTCAACACTTGTTAACTCGGTCATTTCAGACAACCCTACACTCGATAACGCCTGCAGGCCCTTGCGATTGCAAAACAACAACGTGAAATTACGAAATTCTACGTTTTATGGAGAACCTGAACAACGAGAACGGCGATGTTCAATTTCTATTTTCAACTGAGCACACTGTCTTTACAATTACAAACCATGATAGCTCTGACAGCGATAGACAAACAAGATAGCTTAAGATTCAACATTTCGAGATTTTGGAGTAAATTAATTCACTTTTTTAATTGCTTTTAATCGGCGCTATACTCGGTGTCGCTGTGTTGTTCGCTTCAAATCGCTAATCTGAAAGCTTGGATACCGATGGAAGGGATATCAACTTGTTTACGGAATGTCCATTAATCTGTACCTGTAATTTCATGTCGTGTTTCTTTTTGCGTAGTACGCACGATTACGTGCCGTTCTGTTAGTTAAACTTATTGATGTGACTGAAAATACTGCTTCAGTCCAGTGTTGCGATCAGTACAGTTCACTCTTTAAGGTTTTTGCAATCTGATCTTTTTTCTTTCCAGTTCCGAATTTTCGGTGGTTTCTTTCCGCTTTCAGCAGAGTTGCAATCTCAAGGTTCGTTATTGCTCGCGTTACAAGTTTAAACTTCTTACCTTGATTTGAAATTTCCCGTTCATTGCACGCTTTTATAGTAGCACAACTTTGGTCTTAGTGAAAGACGAAGTTTTTTATATTAGACTGAGGACGATTAGGATATCGGAAATAAAAGGCAGTCCTCGAACTTTCTCCAATCACGACACTTACCGCGAGCACAACATACGTTAACAAAATTGCGAAAATCACGTGGGATAGACCAATCGTTACGTGATCCGTCATGCGTGGTGCGTTTCTCTGAGTACGTGATGTGTGGTCAATATTTCTTCTTTACGCCTTTTTCAGTGCGTGGCGATCGAGATAGCAGGTTGGGAAACTTCTGACTGATCAAGTAGTTTTAATAATTTTATGACCGTCCTCAATTTCCTTTTGTTTAATGAAAATACGTATACAGGAAAACAAAATTACTGTGTATATCCTAAAAATTAGTCAATTGTGAATATATTCTTTCCTAAGGATAAGACAAAAGAGGATCCAATTCATAGAAATTCTATTAACATGTAACAGACGCATGTGCTTTTGTATGCAGGGGTTAAAATTTTAGGAGCATTTTGTAAATTTTACCCAAATCGTGAGAATTAAAAAAAAAAAATTTATACTGTCGAAACTCAACGAGAGCAAAGGAAAAATTTAAAGTCGCTTTTACGAACACATAAACAATCGACAAGTATTTAGTTATATATAATGATTGTTAATGAATTTCCAAGGTGGTAATATCTATATTACATGTTCAGAACGTCTAATCACAGGTAGATTTTATAGCTAGGCGAAACTTAAAACCAATATATATCCTCCAGCGAAGATAGCCATACAAAATAAAAGCTTGGAGAAAACAATATCTCCGACGTTTAAAACTTGACTGTTATATCCTGAAAAGTGCTTTGAAAATATGTAAATGCATGGTAAGTTTTACTGAACAGGCGATACCGCAAGATATCACACCCAGAAAGAGAGAAATTTCACTTGGTATTTCTAAAGTAGTAATACTGATGCACCTGTGAATCCAATAGCAAGGGACCAAATAGAAAACGCTATTCTTAACGTTTACGTGGCCAGCTGTCGAATCGTAGTGTAAGGCGAAATAGTAAGGTGGTCATTGTACATGATTAGCTCAGATGTTCTCGGCCTCAATGCACGTACCGGTTCTTTCTGTAAATATACAATTGGATACGACCACGCGCGAAAAAAGAGCAAGCTGGTAATTTACTGTGATTCTGTGCATTTGTTCAACAAGTAGGCACGCTTAAAGCTGGGTTATATTAAGTTTATTTTGCAGGTCACGTCTGCCATATTTATGAGAGTAATAAATATACGTTTTGAAAGACAGCTCATTTGAAATTACTAACTTTGTTACAACAAAAGCGTGATCTGTCAACTTAAGCTATAAGTGACCCATTGCTGCGACGTAGTGAATAAAAATACTGAATTTGATATTATGTAACTTAGGGATGATTCTCATCGTGGCAGTGGTATCGACACTGATGTAAATCAATCGCCAAGCGCCATAGAACTGCGAACTATTTGTCGTCGATTAGTTGCGTTTGAAAGCGTTTTCCTCCTCAAATTAGTCAAATGTTCTTTTACAATTGTGTTGCCTCTCATCGTTGCAGCTGAATAAGTTCACACAATACGAGCGAAGAGAACTGGTTTACTTAAAGCAAAATTGAAAAAAAAAAAAAAGGTTTGAAGTTAGATGCAGCACAATTTTAATAATACTTCTAATTCATTAGCAGTCAAATCGACATCTACAAATTCGCACTTCCTGCTTAAAAGAAATCACGATCAACTTTACTTTTGCATTTTCTGAGCGATCAGTATTTCATCATTTCAACGTACCGTGTTATATTTTTAAAACCTAGAGATTGGACAGTAAAAATTTCTACACAAGTCTACTGTGCTTCAATCAAAAACGTCAATTATTCTAAATGAATATTTTCAGCTACACCTGTGTGCTTAGTTACTTGAAATACAAGTCGCCATGAAACACACTTAGCCTCTCCGAGCTTAAACCAAAGTAAAACACGTAATTTAAATTCAAACTCGTATCACTATTCAGGATACGACACAGACCACATTGCTTCAAGACTGCGTGGAAACACTTACTTCATACTTGGCTTCAGGCAGTGATTCGTGTACAGAGTGCATGAAAGGCAGACAGCTGCAGCGTTTGTTATTGAAGCCGCGTATTTTTGTGATCAGCGAACATCTCCTAGCTTGTATAGTTATTGTCAATCCACTTTACGTTTAACTGATGTCATGTGCCCGTCCTGCATGTGACATGAGTCTAGTCTTGATTTCACTCCAGATCTATCCTAGATTCCGTTTTTCTTTTGTCTTAAAAAAACGGTTCGACAGTGGTCGCGTCTGACTGTGGCATACTGGTGAACAAAGGTCGTCGAGAAAAATATAATTTCTTTTTGCAAACCATAAACGACACGACCCAGTGGTTGTCTGGGAAACGAGTGAGCCTTGCACTTGCGTCCTAAGATACCGTGCAAGTGCGTTAAAGCACTAACGAGATCAGCAATCAGTCAGAGTCTCCGAGCCTAAAGGTCTTTCTTGCCTTACTGGAAAATAAAATCAAATGTGAAAGACAAATGGCCAAAACTCAAACTGCAGAAAATACGAAGCTAAGTGGACCACTCTGCATTTGCGATGCGTAAAGTATTTTTCCTTTTCTACCTTCTTTGTTTATGTATATTGCCAACCCTATTTCCATCTTCCAATAATGAAAGCTACGGTGTCATATTTCTCTATTTTTCCGAGTTCTTTGTACTTTTTCTATATATATATATATATATATATATATATATATATATATATATATATATATATTGTTTTTGTGTAGTGTATCCTTGAATCTTCAGCGATATAAATGTAATTCTGAAATTAACGTTAGTTTTTTGTGTTAGTAGAGTGCGAGTGAGTTACGTTTTATAAATTATTTCTTGGTCTGTACTTCAAAAAGGTGTACGTAGAAGTTTAATTTGCAAGTAGTTTCAGCTGTGTTTTGTTGTGTGTTAATAATAATAATAATAATAATAATAATAATAATAATAATAAAAACTAACGAGATCAGTACCGTGCTGTGATCATTTCAAGAGAAGCACTATCATGACCGCGACTTCCACAAGTCAGAACCTTAAAAGACATATTTCATTGATGGAAACTTAAAAATAATGGTCTGGTTTTGTTGAAAATTACCATGTAAGTGCACTGAGGTAATAAAGGAGTGATACAATGGAGTACGCATGCACAAGGTGTTGATAAGAAATTGAAATAGTCTGGAAGGCGTATTTATTACAATTTAATGACAACTAACAGTGCCATAAGGATGGTCCGTAAAAGAGTCAAAGACCCCATATTCAGACAGACTACCTAAAAAATATGTACACACAGATTAAAACAACAAGAATTTTTAAAGTAGCTAAAGGATAACTCTGAAATCTAATTTTGCGTTATAAAATATATTAAAAAATATATATTAAAATAAATATAAATTTATCTCTACAAGCCAAGCAGTTCAGTTGGTGTTGATTAAGAAGGTTCCTTACACCACGCTTAAAACTTGAAATACCAGGCGTTGATCTAACTATAAGTGGAAGCGAATTCCACATGTCACAATACGATTTGTTCTTGTTAAAGTAAGTCTATCTTTCTGTCTCAATTCCTAGCAGTATCAGAGTTAAATTGAACACATGAAGAGATATTTATACTGATATAACCATTCAAAACTTTATAAAAAAATAACAATAATAACACGTCAAGAAGAAATCGTGTATTCTCGCTAGGGGCAGTAGATTAAGCTTAAAGTTACGAGAGTGTCATAGTAGTCTTCAAAAATGTTCAAATGTTGTTGCTTATAGTGGACAATGCGCGTAGCTACACCTAACTAGGTCTGAGGCATGCCACTTAAACTGAAAGAGAGATATTTCAAGTAAACGTAATTGGCCTAAAACTCCCAACTGGCGGGAGGCAGACCAGTTGACTATTTACAAGCATGACCGAGGAGTTGAACTGGGGTTTAGTTGAACTAATCAGGTCTACCTGGCTTGTTTAGCAATTCACTTTTAAAATATCTTCAGCTTGGTGTTCTAGGAGGACCTCGTGTATGAGCGAAGGAACTCACTCGTAATATAGGACTACTGTTACCAAATTTGCAGCAATATGTCCCTTCGCATGCCACGAGGAAAAAATGCTTATAGACACTTGTTCAGTCTCCTGTAATTCCATAAGATCGTATCGTTTGTGTTGTATGTGATATATCAAACACGAAAGACCGTGTTTGACCACATTTCCAAACACCGAGAAGAGAGTTGAAAATACGACGCGCAGCGGAGTATTTTTGACGAA